CCTTGTTCGCTCCACACTCCCCTCCAGCCCCACCACACCCGGCACTTTTCCCTGCAACCGCAGGAAGTGCTATACCTGCCCCCACACCTCCTCCCTCACCCCCATCCCTGACCCTAAGAAGACTTTCCACATCAAACAGATGTTCACCTGCACATCTGCTAATGTAGTATGCATCCGCTGGACCTGTTGTGGCCTCCTCTACATCGGGGAGACGAAGCGGAGGCTTGGGGATCGCTTTGCAGAACACCTACGCTTGGTTCGCAATAAACAACTGCACCTCCCAGTCGTGAACCATTTCAACTCCCCCTCCCATTCCTCAGACGACATGTCCATCCTGGGCCTCCTGCAGTGCCACAACGATTCCACCCGAAGGTTGCAGGAACAGCAACTCATATTCCGTTTGGGATCCCTGCAGCCCAATGGTATCAATGTGGATTTCACAAGCTTCAAAATCTCCCCTCCCCCTACCACATCCCAAAACCAGCCCAGCTCGTCCCCACCTCCCTAACTTGTTCTTCCTCCCACCTATCCCCACCTCCCACCTCAAGCCGCACCCCCATCTCCTACCTACTAACCTCATCTCGTCCTCTTGACCTGTCTGTCCTCCCTGGACTGACCTATCTCCTCCCTAACTCCCCACCTACACTCACCTTTACTGGCTCCATCCCCGCCTCTTTGACCTGTCTGTTTCCTCTCCACCTATCTTCTCCTCTATCCATCTTCTATCCGCCTCGCACTCTCTCCCTATTTATTTCAGAACCCCCTTCCCCTCCCCCATTTCTGATGAAGGGTCTAGGCCTGAAATGTCAGCCTTCCTGCTCCTCTGATGCTGCTTGGCCTGCTGTGTTCATCCAGCTCTACACCTTGTTATCATTTGTGTGGTGTCAGTCATTACCTTTGGACCTTAATAATTGGGATCAGATAAGCCCAGAAACAAACCTCACACAGCTTTCCCACCATTCACATGTGATTTAATTAGCTTGTAAGAAGACAAACATGAAAATACAAACCTAACCCCCAGGGAGGTTCATGGTCTAACAAACATTTCCACTTTACTTTAATCAAAGTTGCTGTTCTCAGGTGAAAAAGACAAAAACACCACCACCAACAATTCTACACGTTAACGAAAACAGATTGTGGGAAGGCCAACTGCAGCCACTTCTATTCAGGCACTTGAGACACCACTGGTTGGAGTGGACGTTCCCTCAGTAACAAGGACATAGAGGTGGAAGTCCCATTTGTCAAGAGGTTAATCCAAAAGACGAAGATGCAAGGGATCCACGGTGACTTGGCCACGTGGATTCAGAATTGGCTTGCCCATAGAAGGCAGAGGGTAATGGTGGAAGGGTGCTTTTCAGGCTGGCCATCCGTGGCTGGTGTTGTTCTGGGATCCATACTGGCACCTCTGCTGTTTGTGATATACAGTTTATGAATGACTTGGATGAAAATGTAGATGGGTGGGTTAGTAAGTTTGCAGATGATACAAAGATTGGTGGAGCTGTGGATAGTGTAGAAGGTTGTCAAAAGATACAGCAGGATATAGATCAGTTTCAGATATGGGCAGAGAAGTGGCAGATGGCATTTAATCCGGGTAAGTGTGAGGGGCTGCACTTTGGGAGATCAAATGTTAAGGAAAAGTATACAGTTAATGGGAGGACTCTGAACAGCATTGATGTACAGAGGGATCTTGGAGTTCAAGTCCATAGCCCCCTGTAAGTGGCCACTCAAGTAGATAGGGTGGTAAAGAAGGCATATGGCATGCTTGCCTATATCAGTTGGGGAACTGAGTACAAGAGTCAGGATATTATGTTGCAGCTTTATAAGACTTTGGTTAGGCCACACATAGAGAATTGCATTCAATTCTGGTCGCCACATTACAAGAGGGTGTGGAAGCTTTGGAGAGGGTGCAGAAGAAGTTAACCAGGATGTTGCCTGGATTAGAGGGTATGAGCTATAAGGAGAGGCTAGAAAAACTCCGGTTGTTTTCTCTGGATTGGCGGAGGCTGAGGGGAGACTTGATAGAAGTCTATAAAATTATGAAATGCATAGATAGGGTTGATGGTCAGAATCTTTTTCCCAGAGTCGAAATGCCTAAAACTAGGGGGCATGCATTTAAGGTTAGAGGAGGAAAGTTCAAAGGAGATGTGAGGGGCAAGTTTTTTACACAGAGCGTGATAGGAGTCTGGAAAGCACTGACAGATGTAGTGGTAGAGGCACATGCAATAGGGGTGTTTAAGGGACTTTTAGATAAGCACATGAATATGGAAGCAATGGATGGATATAAACCAAGGGCAGGTAGAAGGGATTAGTTTAATTTGGTGTCATCTTTGGCACAACATCGTGGGCCAAAGGGCTGGTTCCTGTGCTGTACAATTCTATGTTCTATGTTCTACGAGCTGCTGGCCAATCAGAGGGTGAACAGCAATTGCTACAGCAATGCTAACCCCCTACCCTAGGCCCAGGGCTGTCACTAGATCCCAGGCCAGATCAGAGTGTGAAGAAGAGGAGAAAGGAGAATGGGGGCATCCTTTCCTCATGTCATGCCCCTCGATCGAACACTGAGTACCTTTGAATCAGGGTCAGCTCATTGTGCTTTCCGCATTGCAAAACTCCTCACGTTACTGAGTTAATACCAGTGGAGGGAGCTTGAGGCTCTTAGCTGTATGCTAGTAACATACTTAATTAAGAATCTCAACTGGTGGTGAGTTTGGGAGGGCTGAATGCAAGATATCTCATCTTAGCCTTAGTCAGGATGGAGATGAGAAAGTGTGTCACCTCCTGCCTGACTAATACTGTCCCCTGCCATCACACTCACCATGTAAAAGAGCACGAGGTTCTGCCGAGTACCTCCAAATAGTACAGAACATCTTTGATTCTGGCACCCTAGATGTTGTACTCAAGTCTTCAGAACAGTCTTGAAGCCACAGTCTCCCATGTGACTCAACAACAGGTGTGCTACACACCAAGCTGCAGCTCCATCTGAACACAAAAGATATATGTAATTACATGTGACAGACATATATCTTTGTAAATAGCACAAAGCAGGCATGTATAGACAAAGTTCATATAGACGGCAAAACTGTATATATGCATAAAATCAAATACATTTATACACAGACAAAAACATGAAAAATTATTCCCTTTCTCATTAGCAAATTGTAATCTAATACATTTAATATATACCATG